TGCCACCCCAACGTTACTGAGCGGCCCTATCAAGCTGGCATTGAATATTCATTCGTTCACGCTAGGTTAGGCTAATTTCGATTAGTATTATCCAAATTAACAATTTTAGCCACTTTTGCAGCCGCTAATTAGACGAAGTGATTACAATGGCGAGTGATTCGCTGGATGAGGACCAGGCGGATAGCAATTGCTCTCTTACGAGTAAGCACATATGCGCTTTTGTGTGCACACATGTATGTGTGATTGCGTTGTGCAGTTGCAACAACAATTAGGCATATTTAATTTAAGGCTTACCATGAGTAGGAGCATGCAGCAAACTAGGAACGCTTTATGGCGTGGCTGAAGGGTTTGGGTGGTTTAATTGCATGGTGAGTTGGGTAAATGCATACATCTCTTGCTCGGAACTTAAAATATGTGGGCTATTGCAAACGCTTGTTTCCGAGTTGTGCCCTTTTGTGCATGACTGTTATATGTGACCCGCTGGAATTTCAATGCAATCAGCAAAGAGAAATACAGTCAGAAGAGTATCTTTTATGGATCATTCAAATGTCCCTTGAAGATAAATTGGAATAGAAGAACTGTCTCACAAACGTACAATTTCGTTGCTTTTGGACGCACTCCAAAGTACTAATCGATTTTATAAAAAATCGTGTAGAAAATGTAGACGTGTACGAGTAAATGTAACGTACGTTGCTTTTTATATTTTGGCAACACTGACATTGCAAGGTCATCATATGACATATCGTGAAATTGAGACAACTAGGCGCATTACTGTTACAGGCATACATTCAATATTGCATGACAATTTGACAGTAAAAAAATTTGGCCACATTGGATCCCTATGAATCGTACATTTGCACGTATGAACTCTAGAGTAAACAAAGGTCGACTCTACGTGTGTTGCCAGATGAGTTGAATCCAACAAAAGTTGTTCGCACTTCGTAGCAGATTGTTGCTGTTTGTAAAATTTCAAGAAATCAGGAGCACTCGAAACATCGATTTGATTAGTCATCCTCTATAAAGACCTGACTTGGCACCGAAAAGTAAGTTAAGTGGTCAACTTTTTCGAAACCTGAAGAGGCGGTTGACTCATTCAAAAGGCATGTTTTGGAGATTCCTCGCATGCAGAAGTGTATGTATCTATAGGGAGATTATTTTGAAAAACAGTGAAGTGATTTTCGAGGATTAAAATTTGTTTTTTCTTAGAGCCTTAGAGCGTCGAAGCACCTAGTTATTTAGAACGGGTGCTAGATATATGCATAAGAGGTTTTTCAGCGTCTCTCTCATGCCAACTTTCCTGCACTTCTTGCATGTATCGTGATTACTTATGCCCATCCGGCTCGCATGTGATATCCAGAGGTTGTGCCCTGTCAGGAGTGCAACATCCGTCCGGCAGTCCTTTCGAAACCGCGTGAGTAAACAACATACCAGTTTTCTTTGCTACAGGTACTTAAGGCTTTACATCTCGCCTTGATCCAACTGTCCATCCTTTTGGTTATTCCATTCTATATCTTTTTTAGTGAACTCAGTATTTCCTGTACTTGTTTGGTAGGATAACGGATGGCATTTTTGGCAACCTCTTCAGCTATTTCCCGGAATTCATTAATGATCTGAAACCCGGTATACATGCAGCCATTTTCCGGCAGACACTACATATACTGCCTCCTGCTGCGATGTGAGATTATTGCCATATTTTCTCGCATTGATAGATTCCAAACCTCCTGTTTCGTCATAAATAATCCTTCGTTTATGTATGTCTAGTTCTTGATCCAAAACACTCGAACTCTAATTTCGAGGCACATTTCGTCTCAAAAACTTTATCTGACCCATGTAAACGACATCCATGGCTGTTTGTACGGTCTCGTAATGATGACTATTTATTTTTCTAGCAAATGACTAAATGTGGACCTTGCTTATAATAGACAGTTTCCATTGATCTGCACTAACCCGTAAACAAAGTCAAAACGTAGGTTCTGGTTCTTCAGAGGTAGATAACGATACATTATTTTCGTTCCATTCTTTATCGATATTGCAGTATAGACAAACCATTTGAGAGGCTTAAACCCAAAATCAAATTCATTTCAAATCGGCATTAATAGCTGCCGGGTTATCCTAAAATACTTATGTTCCGAAGAACACATCTTAATTTTTTTTCCACACTGCCAGTGCAGTTTATAAAGCAATCCAAAAACTGGCTGTTAGTCAAACAAAAAAAAAAAATTAATTACAAACTGAAAGAAATTTATAATATTTTTTTGACATTCACTTCACTTCTTCCTACAGGGTCTTTTAGAAAGCGTTGTTTGCGCGTTGCAGCCGCACTCGGAAGCGCGTTTAACGCAATTTAAGCTTTTAATTGCATTCTCATGTTAGTTTACCTTCCCGTACTCTTGGGTTTGTTCTATTCAATTCAAAGCGCGTTGCCGGCATTTAGATTTAAACGGGCGCAAATGCTTAACAGCGAATGGCGAAATTAAAACTGTGTTTTGCGTAAAGTTCTAAGGCCACAATGCCGTTAAATAGCACACCACTTGTATTTGTTGTCCATTCGACACTGACATTTGTGTAAGTAAATATACAAAATTTTAATGATCTTTGATGCCTTTAAGTGGAAGTAAGAGTTTAATACATGTAACGAGCGTTGCCATATCGCTGTGAACACTAAATCCAATAAATAATCTGACTTTTGTATTTACGGCAATTTCAGCTCATTAACGCACCTTTGATTGGTGTGATTGTAGCGTAAAACGCTTACATAATTTACTGTATATATATATATAGTATATATAATATATATGTATATATCATTGAATATACCGACGAAGCGCTCTCACGAAAGGCTAAAAATAAGAGATGGGACCTATCATTGTTGGTCATTTCATTGCGGCCTTGGGCTCTTGCCGTATACGGATAGCAGTAAATCAGTGTTACGCTCGTTGACAAATTATGCAAAATCCGAACGCAGTAATTTACTCCGACGTCAAATGTACAAAATAGGGATCAAAGTTGAGTTAAGCCAAAGGAGATTAACTACAAATGCCCGTATATATATAGTGTGTATTGTTTAATATATTGTATATATGTGTATATGTATTATATGCCGTTGGCTCAACCTGTACAACAACACGAGTGGCGGAGAGCTGTTGTAAATTATGGGTTCGCTAGCAGCAAATAATGAATCGATATAAGGAGCTGGCCAACTAGGCAGGGTAAATGCATGGCATATTGCTGCCATTATAATTGCTATTGTTTTTGTTGCTGTTGTGTGTGTGTGAATTATAGCATATGCAACAGCACCTGCAATAATTTACAAATAACACGCAATAACATAGAACTACACAACCGTAGACACCCACACATACATACACATGTATATAATTATGCTTCAATGTGAGTGCGCAGGTGTGGCTTGCTCACTGCGTGACACACACACATACATGGTAAATGGTTTTAGTCAACAGCCGCTTAATTGAGTGTCCAGTAAACTCTCGTGGAACCAACAGTCCATTAAAAGCAACGCTGTATATACATTAAGTACATATGTTCGCAAATGTATGTATGTCTATGTAGAGTGGGCGTGATTGGTGAGCGCTCGAAAATTATTTCGGAATTACTGCTTTGTTGGTATAAAAGTGTTGAGCATAAAACAAAGCATGCTCTTTAATATAATGCTTATATATAGGTAGGTAGTCATATTCTTTATAAAAGGACTCTAGAAAGTATGTAATGCAGTAGTGACGTGCATAATTTAGTAAGATATTTCGGTTGGAATTGGAAAGCGCTTAAGTTAGCATTAGTAAAATTTCATATAATTATATCATATCATATTTCATTTGCTCAAGCGTTTAATTTCTATTCCGATCAGTTCGGTGGAATAGTTGAAAGTGAGCGCCTGAGCGCTTGACTCTCAATCTCGCTAACGTGATAAATAAAGAAGCACGTGATGAGATGAGATGTCTCCACCTCGCCATCCTCCATGCAGCTTCTGAATGCTGGCGGCTATTAATACGCTCAAACTTTCGGTATGGGCCCTGAATGGCCAATTAGAACTAAGTTGAACGTAGCCTTACTGAGGAAAGGGAACTTCTGTAATTTTGAGTTACTGTTCCTAGCCAGTTCCTATTCCACTAACATCGGAGCAAGAGTATCCTTCCTTCTCAGTTTTCGGTTTTACAGTTGAAATTTCGTTGTGGTCTGGTACCCAATCTTAGGCTTATAACAGAGTGAGTCGATGCTATTGAAAATTGAATTGCCTTAAACATCTCTGAACACACGGTTAGTGAGCTTAAAGCTAGTATCGCGGTCCTGCTATCAGAGTAGATGGTCAATACTCTAAAAGATGTTGCACTTCGAAGCAGTAAATCTATTGCTACCTTAATGCCGGCAAACACTGCAACAGTCAGGTAGCCTGGATGTGAAATCAATAGTGAGTTCTTGATAATGTACTCCTCAACTAATCGTCCCCTCAAGCTTTGACCTATCCGTAGAAAAGCTCAAATAGATTATTGCTCTTCATCGGGGGTGTTTTTTTACCTGTCAAATTCCACCAAACCCAGCGCACAATCCTGGGAAAGGATGACTTGCTTGGCTACTTTCTTCGGTCAAAGACCAGAAGTCGTCAGCAGCTTGAGCCACATGTAAAAGTATCGTTTCTGGCCACACCCAGTGATTGGCGCTCGGAGAATTTTATTTATTTACGTAACTTTGGCTCCATCCTTTAAATTTATTTAATATCTGTTATAAATATATATGGATTTATTTGTTAGAAAAAAATAACTTAAATGGTTCATCTCAAGGTTTTCCTACAAGTTCTTGTTTGCAATGAAAGCAATTCTTAACAAAATTTTTTAGAATTCAACTTTTTACAAATCAAAAATTCATCATTCCAACTAAAACTCTTCTACATGGTATTTATTATTTTCATATTCAGTTCCAGCTGGCAGTCAAATGAAATAACATGTTTTTTCAATTTTCTTTCTTTTTCATTGCATTGTGTTAAGGTGAAGCAGCTCGGCAACAAATCAGTGTCCTGGGTGCGCGTGCGTGATGGTCATATACTCACCGTTGACAGGTAATTAAAATCGCAACAATGCGCTCGACTAGTGATAAATCTAAGTATAGCCATACCGGTTATTATGTATGTATACCAATTTATATAAATATTGTTATATGTGGCAAGCATTTTTATAATTACATGGATATAATGAAAACGAAAGCTATTAAACAGCCTTACTTGTAGCTCGTACTGAAAGCTACAAAATGTGTTGATCTCATATTAAACTATTTGAAATACCCAACGCATTAAATCTAAGTCAAAATACATACATACAGAGATTCGTGCATTTGCATCTGGTTTGATTTTCGAGCATTTAGTGGATTAATTGTAAACTATTAGTTAAGCAAACACTTAATTACCACAATGCATGCGGCTTAAGTGAAGTAATTTGCTTGGTGTTGGAGTGTAAATTTACATGACTTCATACAACATTTTGACATGCAGGCAGGCTAGGCTCATATCTTAAATGGCAGTAGTGGGACTAATTTTGTGGATTAGCAGTCAAGTTAAGATTTAACATTTTTCGTAATATATTTTCGATATATCGTTCTATTTAGGCATATATTTATGTACTTAAATTTAATACATTCTTAATTATAAAAAAATTTTCCGTTTCAAGCTGATACAAATCGTTTACACAATTTTAATGAGATTTAAATTATTGTATCGCAAATTTTAGCTAAGCATTATATCTAAATATAATATATGAATTTTAATAGTGCGGAAATGTGCTTTTATATTATGCATATATACTAAATATACAATGTATACATACTTACAGTTATAAAACATTATACTGTAGTATGCACTGATAAGTACACAATATGCGCATTAATTGATGATTGCTTCTAGGAATTTACTTACCACACTACTTAAAGGCCATATGATGTACATATATACATAATCGTATGCCACTTATAGACTATAGTGAATATAATCATATTAATATTGGCATGCATTTCCAAATTCAAATTATCAGCCATTTTGGCACACCTATTGTTAGTTGCCAGCTGCATATACATACATTTGTAGTTGAGTAAAATTTTCGCTCTGCGGTTCCATAAACGCTCGTCAATTTTGCCATGTTTAATTTAAATTTTGTGCAATTTCTCGGCTTAGTTGCACAACTGAAGCACGCGCTTGCCATATAAATAAACACACATACATGCATATGTGTTTATAAGCCTTTATTACATTAGTGTTGAATAAGTTTAGAAATTCTGCACGTGCAGTAAAATCCAGCGTCGGTTAGCATATAATTTTCACAATGACACTTGTGTTGTTGATGCAACCAAATGAGTACTGGATGTCTCACATGTTGGAGCGTTTGAAGTACGTAGCCAATGATTTAATAAAGTATATGACATGCCTTTATTGATGTAAGTATGAATTATATCAGTTAGGATATTAAATCTTCTCAACGAATAAATTTGACTAACTGGTATTGGTGTTTGAGTATGCATACATATATGTATGTATGTATGTGCATATAGTATGTTGGTGGAGAATAATTGTTCCAAAAAGCAATTACTGGCACACCGACTGTGGTACGTTCACTTAATTATTACAGATATCTGATTGAAAACTAAATTAAATTAATGCAAATTAATTTTTGTGGTCGCAATTATTTTCAATTTCAAATTGATTTTATGAAGAAAGATTGTATACTTACTTAAAATACACATATAAATATTTAACTGCTGGTTAACTAACTGAGCGCTTCTCTTTTTAAATTGTTTTTGGTATTGTCAATTTAAAGGGCGGGTTCATTTTTTAGTTTGTAGAGTTTTAAGTGCTCGTACTTTAATAATAACCCACGCTGTCATGCATGCACTCTTGCTAGATTTCAACTGTTGACGTTGTTTTTTGGAGTTGAGAACATCTCATTACTGCTTCTAAGGAAGCCACACTTTTGTTTTCATATCCGTGCTATCATACTAGCAGGAATCAAAATTAGTCTTCTAAGTATAAGTTCGAGTGGCTTTCTTGATGCTTCAGTGTTCATTTCAGCCCCTGTAGTTTTAGCAACACAAAGCTCTTTCCTTTAACCTTCCAGATATATGCCAGTGTTATGATCTCTGAGGTTTTCGAGTACTGTTTTGTAATACATGTTATGTTTGCTATATTAATGTGGTAAGAAGGAGAATATATGCTCATCTTATATGTAGTATTCCGAACTGTACAATATGTTCGTAACTTATAGCTTTGTCTTCGATAAAAATCTGTACGAAATTTCGTAATGGTATCTTGTGCAATAAATAAGTTATAATACAAGAACCGTTGACGTTTCTATGGAAGCTATATACAAAAGTATTCCGACTTTTCCAGTTCTCACAAATAAGCAACCTCTCTGTGAGTGGCTAGTTCGCATATACAAGTATATAGACAGAAAACCGGGCACAGCTACATTGACTCAGCTCGACATTGATGAGACTTTTGAATCTAATTGGACAAATATTCGGCCGATTGATCATCTGTTTCCAGGTCGTAAGCATAGTTTCAATACTAATACGCTTCATAACATCCTGGTAGTCGAAAAGCATGGTTTTAAGGAGGTTCAGACGCGGCTGCATTTCGAAAAAATTTAGTGACTTTGGAAACAGTCGAACAGTCTTTTCATAGACCCAAGTGATCTTTGAAAATAGTTTTCTCTGATCCTTCCGATGTATCAGCCGATGCCAGTAAGTCGTCGATTCTCAAGCTTCAATTCTTCCATTTTATTGAAGTGTTCAGCATTGGTTGATGTTGATGTCCGTGGTTTGTCGTAATTTGTACCAATCAAAACCACTTGCTTACAAAAAATTAACACCAAAGGCTTTTTCTAGTATTCTGAACATTTCAGCACCAGAAGTTTGATTCCGCAAATGAAATTTTAATTCTTTGCTGAATAATCTCACTCATCGTAAAGATCGCCAAATGCACTTTATGGACTTCAGAAATACAAGCGTAGACGAATCACTAAATATAATTATTATTTTTTTTATATGACATTTGGCACATACATATAATATGTCAATGGCAGCCAAATCACTCCAGAAAAATAATATTTTGATGAATACGGTTTCGTGCGAAATTTAAATTGAAAAGTCTTACTATTTTTGCCCACAGTAGACGTCCTTAAAACACTTTCGCTAAGCAAATTGCTAAGCAACTCATACTAAAGAGTATTTACTTGTTGAATCTGCCATTACGTATTTATACGTATGTATGTATGTATGTTTTTCTGAGTGGTTTTGTGCAACTTTCTGTGTTAACTGTTTGGTATATTGTGAACGCAAGTAATCTCTATTAAACAAACCATTATATGATCACATTACTAATGTCGAAGTAAGCACTTTATGCATGGATATAGTAACACAGACCAGGAAATTTTACTAAGAACGGCGTATAAATGTATTCACAAACACAAATACATAAATATATCTATTAAATGGAGGAAGTGTCGCAGCATGCACATCACGATGAACCATTTGAAAAGGAAACCGAAATGGCAAGCGATTTCAGAACATACTGAAGGAAACACAGACCACCCTAATGTACATATACATCAATCTTTGGAGCTACGTCTATGGGTGGGTGTGCACTCTTATGTTAGCAGCCAAGAAAACAATTTAGTAAGACTTATACGACTATGTGATAAGAAATCCAGCACAGCAACAAAATCTGAACAATAAGACGGACAAGGACTTGCAACATACACCCGAGTCCATATTTATTTGCGCAGAGTTGCCGTGCTGAATGCACAAACTGACAGCTGGAAGGAACAAACAGACATTGTATGTTGACAAACAGAGCAAGAAAAGCACAATATAGCGGCGAAGGAAAGGACAGATGTGCGGCTAGCAGACAATGCGAGCTAAACTTGAGACAATCAACTGACAGCGGAAGTAAATTGCAGCCTTGAAGTTGCAACATGCTGCTACACAGGCGGCGAGGCGCCGAGGCAATGAGTGTCAGTGTGTGACTGCACATGCTCGTGTATGTGCCTCTGTGAGTGTGGCTGTGCGCGTGTGTGTGTGTGGGAGCAAGCAAAGATAATGTGCTCTAGAAGGCCAGACTGTGTTATATAAATATAATATACCAGAAGGGTTTACAAACACTGCTGCAAGTATATCCATATGCATATATACATGTACATAGCTAAGTATGTATGTAGTGAGGAATGTTGTCGGTCAACAATTCAGCTGTTGCCCTTATCTTTTTCTACTGTTTGCAGTTCTCACATTTTTCTCCCATTGTTGCTGATTGTTTGCCATGTCACTGATGGTGTGCACACATGTGTGTATATATGTATGTATGTGTTGCATTTCATTTGTATTGGGCAGATGTCAGCAACCAACGAGCAAACAATCGCACATACTGTTACACACATATTTAGATGCGCTTGCATGCTGTGCACTCTACTCACATTTGCTCGGTTAACTGTTCATAATGTGGCAGGTTCATTGGTTCCTCTTGCACTTCGATACACCCTGGCGGCAACGCTCATGCGACATCATCTCCCTCCCACTCCGACAATTGTAAGCGCATTACGGCGTAATGTAAGTAGTTGCAAAATGAAATAGTGGAAAGTGGAAAGTGAAAACTGAAAAAATTGGCAAGATGACCTGAAAAAGATACCGGCAATTGTGCTAATGTGGGAGAGTGCTTGTCTGTGTGTTGAAACACATGGGATTGCATAAGCTCTCATGTAGGTAGCGATTAAAGGAAAATTGAAAAAAAAAAAAATTGAGAATTGTGGAGCAATTGTGAAATAAAAATGTTCCAAATCTTTTTCAAATACGCTGCTGAAATAGAGAATAGAAAATGAGATTACTTAAAAGCAGCATCATAAAGAAAACATTCATCTGAAAGAGCTTCAGTTCTTAGGGCTGATTCACATAGAACTTTTGCTTCGCTTTGCTTTAGACGTTTGTTTTGACAGAGCAGTTCGATGTATGTTTTACGTACGCATATATTTGCATGCTTTTTCAAATAACAGTCTTTATTTTGCATTTCCTCATATTGACAAAGAA